GCTTCCCTACGTGCGAAGGGTGCGAAACCGAACGTCGATTAACAGCGGACGAGTTAAAAAGATTATCGTGTCGGTTAACTGAGTGCAGGTAGAGTAATGCGAGAAACCAAGCACGTCATCCGAACGCTCGTCCACCCAGAAAATTACGGCGCCGTCGTGCTCGTCGTCTTCGTTGTTCGTCCGTTCGCTCGCTCATTCGTCCGTTCATTCGTTCTTTCGCTCGGTTCGCCCGTTCGTTCGTTCGTTCATTCATTTGTCCGCAACCTGGATTTATTCCGCGCAATTACCACGATAAGGGTCCACCTTAATAATCGTTCGTTAATCGTCATCCACCCATTTTCAACCCCACCCGTTCCCCGTCATTCTGGCTTCCAACCGTATATGCGGGAAATGGAGAACATCCTGCCTGAGCATACATCACCGACCGTTTGGGAAATGTATTAAGGACACCACGCTCGGTTACCGCAAATTTAAATTTACAACAACGTATAGTATGATCTTTAAGTAACTGGAAATCATCTCTCGAGATTAATAGCAATTACAAACCTTATTTGAGGTAAATGCGAAACGATATTAGCAAAATTGAATCAAATTAAATATGGCACATGTTACATCTAAATAATATATACATAACAATTAAAGAAAAATTAAGGACTCTTCGATGCAACAACAGAGTGCAGTCTACTTTTTTAAGAGCTTGGGAAATATAATTGAAATTTAAGTTTCTCAACTCCAGATTATCTTTCTCAAGTTCTTAAGGCAGCAAAGAATTGTTGCTACGAAGTCTTTAATTAAAAATCTTAAATATTTGTTTTCGAGATCGACCGAAGTAAGTATAGTCTGAATAAGAGGCTTAGCGTGCACATGTACGGATACTTGGCTTTAGATTCACGCGATTACGTTAGTAACAACATTTACGCGCAAGAGCGTGCACGAAGACCTTCAAGGAAATGTCGACCAAAGAAGTGACAACTAACGCCGTATATAGCACGTAAACTGCCTGTGGTTTCTGTGTGGTGTCTGTGAAAAGCCCTTTGAATATGACGTGTCAAGGCAGCGTCACCATGCAGATTGGGATGATCAAAGAACCCCGAGTAACGTGCAGTTCTCATTATGCACATTAATCGGTTATTAATCATGTAATTGTTAGGTTGGAATACTGAGATTCAATTTTCTGATTTTCTTACATTCTTCGGAGAAGAAGATTTCTGATTTGACCTTAACTTTTCTCTTCTATTGTCTTTCTTTTCTCTTCTTTCGGAGTTGATTAACTCGTGAATCTTAATTGCTGTTCTTAATGAACGATATATTCCACGATAACTTCGATTTGATCGTTAATGTTTTATGGTATACTTCTAATTAGCAATTAACGAAGTCGGGAATTCGCACGGGAATCTGTACGATGCGAACACAGATGCGAAACAAGAGATGTACCGCGCTACAGATTATTGATTCTAAGGTTGTTACACATACACACACATACATCTATATCTCGAATTCGGGTCTTCGCATTTAGTAAGGCTGTTCAACAGACGCCTTATGAATAAAATTAATTTTATACGGTTTCAATATTCATGACTAAATATTTACTATATCACAGTACATTTAAAAATAATAATAAAGTTCTATTGTATTATTAATGATTTTTGAAATTTCTCTGTTTTTTTCCAGAATTTTAATCAGACTTTACCTATTACTATATCTTAGACGTCTGCAATCTGTATAATAAATATGGGTGTATAAGCATATATAAACTGGGACGTTAAAAATATTGAATCCTTTTATCATTATGAGATATTTAGAAGCGTAACATAGCGCAAACGCGCGATAAAAATTCGTAAACATTGAACGAATTGCCCTCTGCGGCTATATAATTCTCCGTTCAACATCAAAAATATCAAGGCAGATACATTAGCAAAACGGTTATGCCGTTGTTGCAAACGTGCTCGCGTGGCAGCGCATGAAAGTGCGCGCGTGCCGTAACAGGTGAAGCGTAAACTTCGTACTTTGCACCTGGTAAATATTTGATGAAGTTGGCGTGCAGAGCACGGTAGGGCGGTTGATACGTGTACGGTACCGATACGCCAATCTCTCTCTCTCTCTCTCTCTCTCTCTCTCAAGTTTAGAAAGCAGACGCGAGGTATACATTCCACGCTTGCAATCGGGCTAATCCAATCCGGCCGCAAAATCGGAATCAATGTCAAATACCCATAAATGCGACATAACAGCTTAGGAACGGTCCTACGTTACGCGACGGTCAAATGGGTGATGGAGTTGTCCTGCCGAATCGCGCCAATCCCAGGTGATATCCCAGGGATAGGATCAATATCCGAAGCACAGACTGCAGCTGCTCAAGCTGAAAAGCCTTGCCGATAATTGGACGCGCTCCTCCCCCCGCTTCCTCTATGAATTGAATATTCCCTGTCTTATATATCCCGGTGAAACATTCAGTCATTCCGTTTGCAGTTTGTCGAAGGGATTCCGTTTTCGAATTCAAGTCTCGACCTACATCTCCCTCGACTTTCGATTTTCAAGAAAATGATTTTAACAAGCGTTCGTGGGAGAAGACAAGCGTAAAAGCTGCATCCACGGCGCGCTGGTTGTTTTTTATATCCGCATCATCGCGTCGTAACCGCCCGCCTTGGAATTTCGGGCGTTAACGTGAAGCACAATCTTTACGATCTATTTGTTTCCCGACCTGGAGAAGTGCGGGAAGCGGAGCTAATAAGAACTCGCGTTTCCTTTGCGCCTCTAGATGTTCTCTCTTCTCTCTCTCTCTCTCTCTCTCTCTCTTTCTCACTCTCACTTTCTCTCCTTCTTTCTCTTTCTCTCTCTTTCATTCTCGCTTGCCGCTTTTCTTTCATCAATTTCGCTCAAGCTTCTCTACCGAGCAACTTGCGAAGTAGCCGAGTATGTTTGTTTCTCCACGACGAATTCCCGACATCCCTCGCTCTGTCTTGCCGCGTAACTAAGACCAGTCCCGACTATTCTTCGCCCCAACCGATTTAATTTTGGAACACCTAATTCGCTGCTATAGCGCACTATAGCTTCGACCGCTTCGTTTGAACAATAGGCAATTCAGTCGAGAAGAAAGCTACTAACTAACTAACGTACAAAGCTTTACCGATCGTCCCGCTCTCGGAAAACGCTCGAAGATCGTAAGCGCGAAACAAAGGAGAAATGTGCATTTTGAATCATGCAAACTTATAGACGTCCTTAATTATTTTCGCGACTTTTCCCGAGACGGTTTGCTTCAGTCGGTCCCCTTACAATCGGGCTTTACATCGCTTTATGTCTCTCGAACTATGATTTCACTGAGCTCGCCGAGATGGAAACATAAAATTGTCTTCACGACTGAGATAGAAATAACGAGGTAAAAAGTACAAACTCCGTCGCTTTGTGCTCTGTCGACTGAAAGCGCGTGCATAAGTGTTAGTCATAAAATACCTGTTTAAATTAAATACACAACAATGGAGATAGATATTGTGTATCCATCAAACGATTTTCTTCTTATTATCTACATAAAGTATGCACTTTAAGCTTTGATATGTAAAATGTGTTCGAAGAGAACACAACTATCGACCACAAATTCGTAACGTTTTACCCTCTCAATGTTTTGCTCTCGTTACACTTCGCTAAAATAACGCTCGCGGTTATTAAAATAAAGTAGATGGAGTGAGCCAACGTATGTGCTCTGATAAGATTGCACATACTGTTCCCTGCATTACTGAAAGCGCACACTAAGTCGAGTTCTTGAAACAATGTCGGTAATTTCGAAAAGTGGCATCTTTTCCGCGATTGGAATAATCCCTCAGGTTATCCTATATTGCGAGGAAAGAATAGCGCGCCAAACGAGATGGATCGGAGTATAATCCAGAGCCACTCAAGAAGTGAATACTGAATACATTACAGACCTAATGCAGTTCGCACATAAATTAACATACATCGTTGAGGAATCACCGCACTGTGAAATCTTCTTAAAGTTTCAATGGGCCGCGAAAACTTTTCGACGAAATGAAAATTTGCCAGAACTTTTCCTCGCGTGGAAAAATCGATCATCATATCTATATCAGTGTCAACGACTTTGGTTCTCCTCCGCCACATTAACTTCGCTGTTACTACGGGAGTATTGGAAATAATGAGAAACGTTGCATTATAACTTTATAGATTTATCGAAAAAAAAAATTTTTTATTTACCAGCTGCCTGTTCGCGCAGACATTAATTACATTTATCAAAGTTTGATTAAAATCTTTCACTTCTTTTTATGAAAAGAAAATAAGAAAACACACACACATATATATATATATATATATATGTGTGTGTGTGTGTGTGTGTGTTTCTCATTATTTTATATAAATATATATAATATTTTATAATTATTAATTTTAATTAATTTATAAGAATTTTTATTTAAAGAAAAAATAAAATTAATTAAATCGCATTGTAAGATAAGAAAAATTTATCAATAGTATTGTAACCATGTGGAAGTAATAATTGACCAATCATTTCAACAATCTATAACATAAACGTAGCGTAGCTAGATGAAAAACGATCGCAATCAGCGATAAGAAATCTACTGACCAATTTCTTCCAAAGAATTTCTTGAAACTCTAATGTTTCACTTTTCACAGAAATATGATTGCTTCTGTTCAGTGAGCTATCAAAGAATGGACCGTATGTTCATAATATAAAAAATTTATCAATATTTTTATATTTATATGACCTAAATTATTTTGAAAAAATATCTTGAATTTGATGCATATTATACAATATTTTCTAGATTTATAAAAGTATAATAGATATTTTAAAAATTTATATACATTATCTGAACAACATAAAATTTTAATGCAAGTCGTTTTAATGCAGAATGTCAATTATAACTAAACATCAAACATCATAGTTTAAGTTTTGCATCCTTAAATAATACTAAATAAAGTATATTAAATAACGTAATAATTAATAGAGTAACTTGCGAAAATTATTATAATTTTTTACCCACGTTTGAGAGATTATATCTATAATATATATTATACATGGTATTCGTTCGTTTTAAATAAGAGAATGCGCGATTGATTCATAGTATTGCTAATCTATTATTCTTTATCGTTACGTTTCCAAATTTTTGAAGGATTCCTCATGGGACATTCCGTGGAGAGATGTCCCATGGAGATCCTCTAGCGAGAAATTCGGAAAAGACGAGACCGTAACCGAACACCCCGTAGATCCTCTGGATTCTTTTGCTGTAGAATCACCAAGGGACCGTGTCCTACACGAGCATCTACCTCTTCTTCTCCGGCACGTTTCTGCTTACCATGGCGGGCACGTTGCTGTCCACCGGCGTCTGGTGCTTCCTGGTTAGGCTACCCATGATCCATCTGGCGCGCGGGCCCTCGAGGATCATCGTCGTCCTCAGTGGTTACATCTTCGCTGCCGGTGTGCTCACGTTACCGGCCTCATGCATCCTGTATCGTGAACATAACGTGACTCGAGCTCACCGTACCTTATTTCCGGTAAGATCGTTTATAGTAATTACAAATCGCCGCAATTGTGATGCGACACAACGGTGCAGTGTAACGAAACAATATCTTGTAAATATTTTAAAAGGCATGGCGCGAACACAAAAAGACCTCAATATTTTCAAAGGGAAAAAATTTTATTTGTATTCGTATACATTGCTTCTATTACGTTAATGGTTTGTTTTTCTATAGCGTGAACATCAGGCATTTCAACGCCCGGCTTGTCCGTCCGATCAAGAATTTTTAGAAATGATTTTTGCCTTTTTTCCATTATTGTAAATTCTATATGTATTTATTTCTATATATATATCTATTTCTACATGTAAGCTTTAATCTCTTGTTGTCGTGGTAAATTTTTTTAACAAATATTTATTACACGGAAAATTTAATTTTAGCTGAAATTGGAATTAAGACAAGAATAAGATGGAACATTCGTAAATTTGAAATATATGACGAAACGCGCAGGCGAAGAGAGTAAATTTTCTTTATAAACCGAATCTCTGTTTACTTTGTTAAATGCAAATCTGATGTGGATATCGAAGCAAGGCAAGATAAATGCGAACAAGATAGAATAAAATTGTATTTTCAAATGTTCGACCACTGTTTGTCATATAACAAATCAGATATTCCGACTTTTCACTTTGCGACTCAACCTTCCTTAGGCCCAACATTATTGAGATCGAGATGACGAAACCAGACATTTCTGAACGTGTGCTCGCACGGTGACGCGATCGACTTGAGATTTAAGAGAAAATCCTCGTAGCCCGTTTGCAACTGCGGCACAGATCGACCGCTTAAATCTTCGCGGACGATTTCCCTGTGATCTATGACGGACACAGTGTACCCACCGACCGTTCCGAATAAGATTTCCTTGACTCGGTTCCTATAACTTCCTGAAAGCTCAGTCGTTCGTCCTATTAACTTTTCCTACGCTAACGTTTTCATTCTTAAATCTTTCTTTATGATTAATGGCAATGATCAATGACCAACAAATCGTTACAAGCGAAAAATAATCGATTGCATTTCCTTCGATAAATATCAAAATTCAAAATATATTTCGTCGTTTTAAATATATTTTCTACTTTCTTCTCATAAAATTTTTTGCAAATTTTTATATTATCCACGCTTTTCATTAATATTTTGTGTATTATTGTTACACACACACACACACACACACACACACACACACACATACACACGCGCGCGCGCGCGGTGTGTGTGTGTGTGTGTGTGTGTGTGTGTGATATATATATTATGTGTTTTTTATATTTTTATTAAACAGAGATCTACCTATGAATTGTGTAAAATAATGCCATGTAACGTGTTGCATTATATATACTAAAGATATTAATCTTAAAATATAAAACAGTAACAATATGATAAGCACGATGAAAAATGAGATGATTAATAAAATTCAACAAATGAATCGTCTCTATTAATTTTTAATTGATCAGTGAAATTTTGTGAAATGGGAACTGAACTGAATGAAACGTTTGTCGCGTAAAAGCTTCAAAAGATGTTTAAAAAAGCTGTGTATAAAAACATAATGCTGAGATAAATACATCAAATACATGTGTCGAGATAAATATATATATTAAATACACAAATGTACCAAATACAGAGATTATAAATATATTATAATACAGAACCGAGAGATTATACAAATCAACGTACGCTTATGACTTTTCAACGCTCGAAAATTGTTAGAGCAAATATCATTTCTGAGACAATTGTTATTCTCACGAAAATAGAAACGTGAATGTGATATTATTCCAACGTCGCGTCGTTCCGAGAGAGGCAAAGATGTGTAAGAAATAGAAATGTATTAAATGTAAAATACTAAAAATGCAGAATTACAAAATTCGAACGAGGGTTTCCGGGTTAAAAGTATTCAGGGAATTATTTGAATATTTTAAAAAATGTATATACATTTTGATATGTGAAATAATAAATTTTAATACATTTGCAATAAGTTTACTTTTGAAATTTCAATAAGTATGACTGAAATTATAATGTGAAAATATAATCTATCTCTCTTTATCTCTTACGCATAATTCCCTATATTCATAAGAGGAAATAATTAAATTACGCGTGTGGAATTTCAAGTTTTAATAATGCCGCGCTACAAAATAGATGAGAGAATCAGAATAAATCCTATTTATATTATTAGGTATATAATTCGCACGCATAATATCGAGAGCGCGAGAGAGGCTCTACCAAAACCCGATTATCGTGATGCTGCGGCACAAAATTAAATTCGTACGAAACAGTCGTACACGAATATTACGAGAAATGTTACTCACAGTTCGATGCGTTGTCATCATCGTCTCGCCGTGTCCTCGAAAAGTCATACTCACTGGTTGCAATTTCCTGCGTCCAACAATCGGGAAGAATTTGATTAGATACAATCAATATTATTCGTATCTTGATAATATAAGCGAGTTTTTTAATTCATCGATTAATTAATATCGCATAATACGCAAATGCTGCTTTTATAGAGCAAAGTTGCATTTGCGCATAATGCGATTTATTAATCGATGAATTAAAAAACTCGCCTTATATTTAGCACGAGAGTCACCGTCGTGTTTCCTCACACACGATGTTCACAGAACGACATACCATAGCTTTCTAACTCGTATCGTATCTGAAACCTTTGTATCCTAACGACACGCACGACGATACACATTGTTCGCGGCGATTTTCTCTACATGGCACGACTCTTATTCGTAGTAATCTCGTGATGGGTAACCTCGTGATAGATATAAAACTCGTATATACGTTAATTTCATATATTCATTAGTTCAACTGAGATTTCATTTCCGAGAGAAAATTTCATGGAGACAACAAATTGCTAACCACTATAGATAGATAGATAGATAGATAGATAAATACGACGAACGTGTCGCGACCGTTACAAGCGTAGGTGTTTTTTTTTCTGCCTTTCTTCAGCGCTACCAATTCTGAGTCCCGCGGCTCGCCGGCTTGGCCGAGCGCACACATACGGTTCTTTCTTTGTATACGTCATCCCTTCCACGTCCGTGCCGGTGAGGCGAGGGACTGTTGTGTATTGGCAGCTCTGCCTTTCTTCCCTCGTCAAGCGCGCACTTCACAGTATTGTAAACACGGCCGGCTTGCGACGCGTTATCGCTCGATCTATGAGACACAAGGACAGAAGGGTAACGATTCTCACTTCTCTCATTCGATAAATTCAGAATAAATATGCGATTTGCTGTGTAACGTGCCGAATAACATTATAGGTAACATTTCGACGGGTTATGCGTAATCGAAAATAAGTTACCAATTACCAATACGCGTATCTTAATATATCAGCAAAACGTATATTCAATTTATTTACAATGATTTATTATTTATATATATCTATATTATTATATGTTGTACACGTTCATTAGATGTCTAACATGGCAATGTAGTGACAAATTAATTGTCGCGATTCTCTCTCATTCTCTCTTTCTTTCTCCCCTCCCACTCTCCTCTCTTTTCCTCTGTACGTGATTTTTTTGTCGCAAGCTTGTATACAACGAAATACAACGCTCAATTTGACAATTTAAATGATATTTCATGCTTTTAATAAGAGAGAATTTTGTATAGGCAGTTAATTACTGCCCCAGTATTTTGATTTGAACGCTGTTAATACAAGTTAATACAAGTTTGATTCATCGAGTAACGCAAATAATATGATACGTTTTCGACAGATTATGTCGCGTAATGGAGAAACGGTTAATTACTGGTATACGCGTATCTTAATTCGATACATTACGTAGATCCATAATACATCCAGGTTACTCTTCCAACAATTATTTATCTGCGCGATATACACATTGATTAAGTAAATTGTACGGATGATAGTGATAGTCGATCATGATGGTTTAAATGATAAAACGCAAAGAAAAATACGTAGGCATTACAGCCTAATTATCCTAAAGCGCTTTAATTACTACCGCCTTCGGCATTTCGCATGCATTTGTCCCGAATTTTCGCTGCTCGATTACGATTTCCGGGCGCGATATTCTCTCGACGAGTGTAATAACTCGAAATTCATTCTATGATTGGTAGTTTATGTCGATGCGGAATGAGCATGGTTAATTATAACCGTTAATTAACGCAGAACGACGATCGTACCTCGCGTAACACACACACACACATTCCCGGCGTGTGTTACACCGCCTGTAATGCACCTCTGATGAATTATACAATAACGCGAAATGTGACGATTCGCCACTTCAGCCGACTCGCACTCTGCGGCGATACTCGTTTCGTCGCGCGTACTCGCGCGATGAACAATCAAAACAACACCTCGGAACAACCGAAAATCTGAACGATGCGCGACCGACCAATGACGCCGCCGACGGATGCAGCATCCGCGAATCGGTAATTATCGTTACGCCGCGGTCCAGCAGCTAATCGCCGTCACGCACCTTAATTAATGCGAAACCCGATTCTACAGTCCGTTCGATTACATCGCGTGCGATATAACTTGCATGATTAAACGCGCTCGCTTCACGCATAATATTCTCGATGCTCTCTTGTTTCGCATAATATTCCCGATGCCCACTTGAGTAACTAAATGAAAATCAATGTGGGAGAGGGAGGGAAGGGGGAGGAATACGCGCGTTATTAAAAGAAACACGTGTCGCGTATGTATCGTATATGCCGCTTCGAGCGATGCTGATAATTAGCGTGATAGGGATTAATCGTGGTCCCGAGCAAATTGGGAGAGATTAAGAGAGGATATCCCGGAGATATCGCTGTGCCATGTTACGGATAGTCCTTCCTATGGTAACTCGTGAATCACGCATTATTTTCCTGTTCTGCAACATCTCATGTTTGCTCTTGTAATCGGACATCGAGGGTGGTTCCGGGCGACGTTCGATCAATAGTCGTGCTATATCGTGAATGGCAATTGCGATATTCGCACGGCAATCGGCTGTTGCATTCGCCATTTATCGCGGACCGAAAGTTCTATCGCGCTCGCTAACGGGAACCGAAAAATAACGATCGATCGATCGTCGTTTCTCCCGGTTATTTATTCTTTCGAAGTGCATTGTGCGCGTATAAATCAGCGTCGAGGTATGAACCGTCGGGCGATCGTGGGATTAATTAGTGCGCTGGTTCGTAATTAGCCGCGTTTTCCGTTCAGTTCTCCGATCGATTTTATTCGCGAGTGTATTTATATATGTGTATGTGTTTGTGTGAGTGTGTCAAATTACATGGAGCCTGCGGAGCACCAACGATGATACATCGACCGGTGAGTCAATTTTTCATTAAATTTATGTGATCGATTGTTTAGCGGCACTAATCAGTATTTGGATATATCTTTACTAGTTATTAATTTTCGGACATCGTAATTCTGAGTTTCACAATATCATGTTTTATCACCTATTCTCTCTGATGAGATTTATTTATGAATTGTTGATCCTTCTCGAAAAAAGTTTCATTTCATTAATTACGCAAAACTTTAGAATTACGATCACGATTATTATTTTTTAATATTACAATTTTTTACAATTCCATTTATTTAAAATTTTTTAAAATTAAAAAGATTAAGTATTGATTAAAAAGAGATACTATATAAAGATATATTCAAATAGGATATCTCCAAGTAATAATTTAAGAGCAGAATACAACGCTTGTAAATCGAAATAAGAACTCGATGCGGAGGTATTTCCATGCAGAAATGATATTCGCACAAAGAATCGCATTGTCACGCTGATCTTTACACGGCGCGGAAATCGCGCCGCGCGTTATTAGATGGACATAAGAATAAGTGCGAGCGGGGCGATAAATCGCATACCGCGAACCGCGGATTTAATAACAAGGGCACGAGGTGCGCGGCTCGCGAAACCGACTAACGAAAAAGAATAGAACCCGCCGATTATTTTGCAACGGCATTCAATCTTAATGTACGTACGTACGTTCCTTCGCGCGAGCGCGTTCTGCGGTCGCGTTGCATTACACGAGCGGATCGATACGCGTGCGAGGGATATTAATTCGATACGGACCGGGAACCGTCGTGTTTGCATTCTGATGCGAGTACGTTCTCGCATCGCCGTTACAACGTACAGTGCTTAAATCGTGCGGTCGATGCACCCGCGCGCGATGCCACCGTACCGTACCAGTCCGGGTTACGCACTCGGTGTCTCTCGGCTCGGACGGATCTCCCTCCTCTTTTTCTAATCACATCCGAACTTAATTAGATATCCCATCTTGCACACGACGACGAGCGTGTTTGCGTGTTTGCGATTTCCGGTGGGTACAATTTACATGCGAAATTTCGTACGTAGCTGCTGCAGAACTATGTAGCGCTCGCGCGCGCGCGCATGTAACGTCTGGCCCGAAATTCTCGCGGTAATGCGCGTCCGAATCAATTGTTTCTCGCCGTCGACTTCGAGACCGTGCCCATATGAAATTTCGTAGATAGCTGCGCACGATTTCCACCCGCGATTGAAATTTCATGAAGTTGCGCGCCAAACTTTCCGCACAAACTCACTGTTTTCGAATCAAACTTCCGTCGACGTCGGCGCGCATATAATATTGTGATATTTCACGTTCCGCTCCAAATTCTGTGATCTATAGACTTCTTAGATCCAGCATGACACATAAATAATAGCTTTTGTGAAATAGGGAGATTTGAGAGATAAAAATTGCCGTTCAAATATTAGCGAACGGCATGTATGCGATTTTTTTATATATAAACATTTTTTATATATAAACATTTCATATTCAAAATAATATTATTAATTCTGTCTTAAAAAATTGATAGTTGTTACATAACTATATAGATAAAGGCAGTTTATATAGATAAAGATTTATTTATATAGCTTCGTTAAAAAGAGACCTGTTAAGTGTCATTTTGGAATAATTTATCTTGACGTAAGCGAGAGTTATTTTGCCATACTTTATGCTCTAGGGCCGTCGCATTCTGTTGTTGACAGACAGTCGATTGCTCGTTTACTCGTTGATTTTTACTGCGAGCTAAGGTATAGATGTGCGCTATGCGGAGTGAAAGAGAGCGTAAATGAGAAAAAAAATGGAGTAGAAATGGATAAAAGGGGTGCACACGGAGGTATCACGGGGATAGAAGTAAGTGGGACGTATCGTGAATAACGTTATAGTATAGTTCGTACACATACAGACAGTTTTATGATCACGCGCAGAGAAAAGAGGTCAGCGTAAAATAAGAAACGAAGAAAGGATCTTTTAGTTGCTCCTTCGTTGCCGCTGTTGCTGATCGACGGCCTTACTTATCGTAGAATGCATCTGTTAATGATGAATATCGGGAGCAAACATGTTACTGCAACATTCACGTTGTTTGCTTGACAGTTCTGAGCGCATCACTAAAGCGTTTTCAGCTCGATGACAGGCTTTATGAAGTTCGTACGTTCGTAGCGATTAAACAGTTTATCGTCCTTAGTCAGATTATTCAAATAATTCCGGATATAATACGCGATATCATTGTGCAACGAGTTTTCTTGTCGTTGCGACAATAAAGAGAAAACAAAGTTATTTGAAATATAATTTTTTTAAATATTTTTAATTCTATGATTAACTTATTGCTTACTGCTTTGGAATTGTTAGCGGCGCATATTGATATATTGATAATAATTTTACATAATTAATAAAATTAAGTGTAGCATTAATAATTAGGAAATTACTTGTTTCTTTCGATAAATTCAGGAAAATTCAACTTGAAAACTTATCTCTTGAAGGTATAGAAATTTTTTTATGAGATTGGTCGAACGTAAAATCGTGTTCTTTCATAATGTTAAAAGTATAATAATTCTTTCTATTAATATAATGAAGCTCTTCTAATAATAAATCTCTCCCTTTCTCTCTCTCA